ACTCGTTATCAGACGTCTTCCATTGTTTTCTCTGTTCCGTATTCTTTTATTTCCAAGCATAACCTAAATTGATTGATTCCTTTGGGGTGTTTTGATTCTTCCTAAGGCAGATTTTTCCGTTGCTTTGAACTAAACCCATTATGGTGACTTGAATGTTTTCTGGGCGGTATTCAATTGCGTTTGTTTGCTCGTTCTTGTTCCAAGGTGCGCCATGATCGATAACGGCTGATGATTCATCGACATTGCGCACATTTCAGCTCGACAGATATCAGTCCTTCCTGATGAACGAACTCAATCACAATACTGTTTTTATCAATTAAATAGGCAAGTACAAGTTTGCCTTAAGTTAGTTCTGCTGCATGCTTATCTACAGTTTTTTAATGCGATTTCTCCTAATGATGAGATTTAGCTTATGCGCATGGCGGATGTGAACGGTGCCGGTTCGCGCGGCTTAGTTAGTGCGCGGCGCGATCAGATCCTTGAAAAAATGAATTCTTTACAACAGAAAGGCGATATGAATTTGGGCACAGGTTCGTTCAGTTTTTAAAATATATTTTTTTCCTATTGATGACCGAGATTCTTATTTTTGCCACGCTATTTTGTCATGATATTAGTTTGAATAGTTACAGAGAATGTGGTACCTGCTTTCACTGCTTTTATGCGAGCCATTCCACCACCTGTGCCAGCTCATAGACCCAAGTCTACCACCTACTTAACCAAACCACCGGTTGCACCAAAACCACCACATATCTCGCACAGGGTACGTCCAAAATTTCATTGTTTACTTCTGACTTATTCTAATCGGACAATCTAAAAACTTGCTGAACTAGTAAGTTATTCACAGTGATGGTCGTCTTCTCTTATTGTTAAGGTTCTAATCCCATTATATTTGCTCGCACAGTAACTATTGATGCTATCAGCTGTAATCTCATGCTGCTATAGGAGGAACTAAACGACATTTGCGGCAAGTAAAGTCCTCACTGTTGAATAAGTTATCTGCTTCCCAATGCATTTACGTGATAAATAGGCATATGATTTTGATGGGGATAAGCAATGGGAACAAGGCGGCTTTGCTGCAGCAAATTCCTTTCAGTCAATTGTTCTCGTAAAAGGGGTTGCGAATCAGTAGGAAAGTGTGTGTTTCAAGCTAAAAATTTCTCTTATCTGTCAGTTCGAAACACTTGCGGTTAACAAGTTTTAAAGTGATTGTTATAAAGTTTCATCAAAAAAATTTCAAAAGAATCCCGATGTTTTAACCGCCTCAAAGCTTTATAAAATTTTCAAATGTACATACGATGACATTTGCCTTAAAAGTGAACATATTCTAGCATAATTTTGCGTGAACTTCATGTTTTCATTGTATAGATACGAAAGTTGCTTTTACTCATTATCATGCGCAGATATTGCATCTTAATACAATGTATTATGTCATATGTTCTTGTTCCATTCAGTCAGAGAACTCTTAATGGTACTTTAACAGGAAATTTTTCGCTTATCTCGCATTCTCAGTCAGGTTACTTAGGCCTAATTTTTCCCTTGTCTGCTAGACGTTGGAATGCAATACATTGTTTATTAACGTCTTAAGTCAGATGTTTGTATTTTGCATTTTCTCACTGAAGCTCATACTTTTGACAGCATTGGAGATGATTCAATGTTTCGATTAAAGATGGAATACTTTGTTTGAAGTGCAATCACTTTAGTTTTATTGTAAAGATTTTGGTGGAATTTGTCGGAATTATTGAAGTTAGAAGGTTAGATTACTAGTCTGTCTCATTAGACGTGATTTTTGAAGAAAATCCGTCACGTGAAATGAGTGGGATCGATTGGTTTGAGTGCAAGAAGCAAGGCATTAGAATCTCATTCCGAGTCTGCAGTCTTCCCGCGACACAGTTGGCTTCGTTTCATTGAGTCACTTCTCTGGGTACTTCTAAACAAATGTGCCTTTATCTTTGTTAGTCTTCTTTGTTTCGATCTTCACCAAAAGAGGCGGTATCTGCGGAATAGATGATCAGTTTGAGTAAAGCGTTTTGCAGTGAATTATCACGAACTATATTCGACTCTCCTCTAGGT